TCAGATCTTCTTCCAAATAGAATTCTGTATTCTGAAATGTTTTATCCTTCCCCATGGTATCCAAATAGTATTTCTGGATAGGGGATATAAAAGGAGACTGCTTAATTTCCAGGGCCAAGATTTTTAGTGTGCCATGGGCAGAAGTCAAGGACATAAATAGGGGAGCATATGATAGATTTACTGAGTCACCTGTGGGGCCTTGGCTGGTGGGGGTATTGTGGAAGCAGACATAGGCCCTGTGCAATTGGGATGGTGGTGTCCAACTTTATGTCGGACAAAACTTTTCATACTACCTTCATTTTTACCCTAGTTTGAGATGTTGCAGAGAGCTTTTAATTCTCTACAGATGACTTACATTATCTCTGGGTCATCTCTTTTGAGATTCATTCCTGATGCATCAAGTAACTGAGTCTGTAGTTTAAGGAAATAAGCCTTAGTATTCTCTATGAAATACAACAAAGGTACTTGGAAAGGTTCAGCCAGCTGGTGCATGTATGTGGTGTGATTGCTAAGTACTAAACCCAGACAGATCTTGAATTGCACCAATATATGAAAATAGTACAACGCAGAATTAAGTCCAGATAATCTGTAACTAATAATGACATTTGAGACACTGGGTTGTATAATTTGCCCAGTCAGCAAGTACCTCACTAGGGAAGGATTCATCCTGAACAGACAGTCTGTCATTTATGAGCTGGCTTCTCTTAGAACTTCAAGTTATCTTTGGAAACTGTGATTCTGAACATACTGGAAAGCTGGGTATTCTAAAACTGTCCCGTGGAATATAAAGCAAATTGCGATCACTGTTGACTAGCATTTTCATTAGGTCTTAAGCATGGTAGAAGGACATGTGTCAACTTACAATCATCCTATATCCTGTTTAGTTCACTTTTTCATGCCCACTGTGAGGAAGGCATTGTGCTAGGGCAGATGGAAATATCAGTTCACTGTGGTCTTTGACTGCTAGGAATATATCTTGGGGTGGGAGGCAGGGTGTGTGTGTGTGTACCTATATATATATCACAGACAAATAACTCAAGTGTACCGTGAACTGGTGCCAAAAATACTGAAGCATAAACATGCTGAACATAACAGGAGGGATACATTTATTTCTAACTGCGTCACTTGAGGGAGGTTTTACATAGACAGTGACATCTGAACTGAACTTAAATAGAATTTCAGCCATCAGGGAGATGTACATTCCAGACTAAGGAAGCCAGGTGTAAAAAGGCACAGAGATGGGAAGGTAGAAGACATTTGGGGGAGTAGTGCACTGTGACTGGTGCATGGGGTATAGGAGAAAAGGATATAACACAAGTAGTGTGAAGGCAGGTTATGTTGGGCCCATGAATGCCTTGTGATTGGGTCTTGCTCCTAAGGGTTCTGTATTAGATATAGGAGGGATGGCTGCCATATTTCATTCACTTGGTGCAACTTACCTGGACAACAGAGAGGTTGTAATAGACATTGAGAGGAGCCTTACTTTTTGCTGGTGATAGACTCCAAAGATGTAAAGGGACACGTTCAGGAAAATAGTTATACCACATCTGCAGGTTTGTGGATCATACTGAGTCTTTCCTCCCAAAACGTTTTATGAAAGTGAAATTGCATTAAAATGAACATCAGAGGCAATTTTGAAATGGAAAAGAAGTGTGAGAATGGAAGTTCATGTTATAGATATGTAAGCATTTTCCTTTATTTTTTCAAGTGCCCAATTATCTTTTCTTTATGATGATGATGGATGGGGGTTATGGACAAAATATACTAAAAACCTTATGGGGCTTCCCCCCCCCCCCCCCCCATACCTCCTTTTCCCCCTAGTGGTGGTGTGCTTCTGTTCTATTTAAGCAGTAGAGGGGTTAAACCAAAGGCTAGAACAAGCATATCAAACCGCTGCAAGTTTGACATGCTTGCAACAAGTCTGCCTGAGTTCCAGCCCCAGCTTCATTACTGCCTATGCCACTTTAAAGACCTTTCTTAATATCTGTAAAATGGGAGTAACAATACTAACATCTCCCTTTGAAGGCTATGGTGAGGATTAGATAAGCAAAACCAGGTAAAGTACATAGAATACTGATTGTCACTTGGTAAATGCTGTGGAAGTGCGAGCCATCATCATCACTACTACTTTAAGATGAACCTAGTCACTTGATGTTACACCATTGGGTATATTTTAAGGAGTTAGAGCCACTTGCTGACACTTTGAATTATGAGGCTACCAATTGATGTGTCTCTCTCACATCGATGTTTCTCTCTCTGTCTCTCCCCCTCCATTCCACTCTCTCTAAAAAAAACAATGGAAAAATACCCTCGGATGAGGATTAACAACAAAAGTAGGACTTAGGGATGTGATCCAGAACTGATCTGTCTTCTCAACTTGTACTCCAAAACACTGGTTTTCAAGCTTGTGGAGTAGGTTAGAGAGAATAAAAGACCTAGGTAGAGATTTATAAAATTTTACTTGGAAAAAAGTATTTTAATGATTTAAAAACAGCATAAGGATATGTTCCACAACAGTGTTTCTCAAACTTATGTTTGAGAAACTTATATACTTACAAGTCACACATGTTAAAATTAAAATGCAAATTCTAATTCTCTAGGTATGGGCATGCCCCTCTATTCTGCATTTCTAACACACTTCAGGTGTTGCCAGTACTCCTCATCGGAGGGCCATCTTTGAAGTAGTAAGATTCTATAGGAATTTTTCTTAGCTGCTGATACAGAGCACTTATTGCAATCATCTTTGGAGCTTTTTAAAAATAAACCTGTCCTGCCCTGGCTGGGTGGCTTGGTTGGTTGGAGCATTGTCCTATGCACCAAAAAGTTGCAGGTTTGATTCTTGGTCAGGACACATACCTAGGTTACGGTTCAAGCCCAAGTCTAGGCATGTGCGGGAGGCAACTGATCGATGTTTTTCTCTCACATTGATGTCTCTCACTCTCTCTCTCTAAAAATCATAAAAACATATTCTCAGGTAAAGGTTTGAAAAGAAAATAAATTTAAAAATAAACCATTCCAGGCCCTAGCCCAGACCTACAGACTCAGAATCCCTGGGATGGGTCCACACACAGGTATTTTTAATCCTGGTTGAGAATCACTACTCAAATGCCAAGAGTACATCTTGTCCAAAACCCCTTTGGCTTCTTCAGTAAATTTATCTATCTATCTATCGCTAATCCTCACCTGAAGGTATTTTCCCATTGGTTTTTAGAGAGCAGAAAGGAGGTTGGTAAAAGGAGGAGGAGGAAGAGAGAAAGAGAGAGAAACATCAATGTGAGAAACAAACATCAGTTGGTTACCTCCCACACTTGCCCCAACCAGGGATCGAACCCACAACCTGGGCATGTGCCCTGACTGGGCCTCAAACCTGCCACCTTTTGGCGCACACGACGACGCTCCAACCAATTGAACCACACTGGCCAGGGTTGGATCAATTTTTAAAATAAAATTTCAAAAATGCTATGAGTACTTTCAAATCATTTATTAGAATTTGTGTTTTTATTTTAACAAAATAGAATTTAATTTGGTACTAAGTCATTAGATGTTTTTAGGATCACTAAACTAAGAATGGGAGTGGGCACAGTTCTTAAAATTAACAGCAGAAATTAGGCATTTTTTTCCAGACGAACATTTGATTAAACATCTTCTCTAAATGGCCTAGACTTTTATTTTTTCAATATATTTTTATTGATTTCAGAAAGGAAGGGAGAGATAGAAACATCAATGATGAGAGAGAATCATTGATTGGCTGCCTCCTGCATGCCTCCTACTGGGGATCGAGCCTGCAACCCAGGCATATGACGTGACTACGAATTGAATCGTGACCTGGTTCATTGGTGATCAACCACTGGGCCACACAGGCCGGGCAACAGCCTAGACATTTGGAGAGACAGAGTAACTTTGATATAGCCAGAATTTGTGAATAAAAGAAATATTAAATTTCTTAGCTCAGTATTAATCTCTTTTTTAAAAATACATATTTTTATTGATTTCAGAGAGGAAGAGAAAGGGATAGAGAGATAGAAACATCAGTGATGAGAGAGAATCATTGATCAGCTGCCTCCTTCACATCCCCCACTGGGGATCAAGCCTGCAACCGGGACATGTGCCCTGACAGAGAATTGAACCATGACCTGCTGGTTCATAGGTTGACATTCAACCACTGAGCCATGCCAGTGGGGCTCTGTCCCTCTTTGATTATAAAAATCCTTACAGAACTACCTGGAGACAGATAGAAATAGTAAAAAATATATATATCCTATATAATAAAAGGGTAATATGCAAATCGACCAAACAGCGGAGCGACTGGTCTCCATGATGCACACTGACCACCAGGGTTTCAGTGGTTCTCAACCTTCCTAATGCCGTGACCCTTTAATACAGTTCCTCATGTTGTGGTGACCCCCAACCATAAAATTATTTTCGTTGCTACTTCATAACTGTAATTTTGCTACTGTAAACAATATGTAATTATATATGTGTTTTCCGATGGTCTTAGGCAACCCACAGGTTGAGAACCACTGGTTTAGATGCTTAACACAGGAGCTGCCCCCTGGTGGTCAGTGTGCTCTCACAGGAGGAGCACCGCTCAGCTGGGCTGACGGCTGTTGGTGGCGGGAGCCTCTTCCTCGACAATGCTAAGGATGTCCTCGCTGCCCGACTGCAGCTTAGGCCCGCTCCCCGCCATTTTGGTTTGGAGATTTCATTTTGTTTATTTTTTTGTTTTTCCTGAAACCTACAAAAACCTAGAGAAATAAGATTAGTTTCCAAGTTGATATTGAGAGTGGTTGTAGTCTTCAGGTTACCCTAGATTTTTACATGATGGCAGTAAACTCATTTACAAATTAAATTCCCATACTTTTGAGATTGGTTTCTCCTCATTCTGGATATAGTGACTTGCTCACAGTATGGATGAGGTAGAAAGTAAGTAGATGCTTGTGGGAATTGGAATACAGTAATTTTCATCAGACTGATTGTATCTATTTACTCTTGATTGGCAGGAATATATGGTTTACAGGAAGCATACCTATATGAGGCTTGATGGCTCATCCAAGATCTCGGAAAGGCGGGACATGGTTGCTGATTTTCAGAACAGGTAATTTTAATAGGAATTATAAAATCCTCATTTGGTTTTCCTCTAGAGCTTCAGATGGTGAGGTTTAAAAAAATACCAATACATTTCATATTATTAAGTGATCATGATAGTTCCTGCCATTTTAAGAGGTAGCTCAATCTGCTTATAGCAGTTCAGATCTGTGTGTCTGTGAGAGAGAAAAAACGAATACTTGGTAATTTTTGTGTTTGAAATCTGCTTTCTTACCAAATCAGTGCCTATTTCTTTAGCCAAAAAATAAATGATTTCTGAGTATGAACCAAGACCTTCCTGATGTGGATAATATGTATGTAGAAAAAAGTTGCTAAATGTTAACAGTGGCTATCTCTGGGTGTTAACTTATAGTCTTAGTTCATTATTGCTTACCTGTTTCACTTTGTATGAGTTAAAAAAGAAAACCTTCCTTTTTCCTGCTTTCCCTCTAGCATTGTAGTACAGTGCGGTATGACAACTTGCAGTAGTCTGTAATCTATTCAGCTGGCAGCTCTCAGTTACAGTACTTCTCCTACCTGATAATGAGCCTATGAAATTTCAAATGCTGCCTGCTGGATGCTGATGGCTTACAAAGCCATAATTATCCTAAGTGCTGGTTCTCATTGTAATAAGCAGAGTCTGGTTACTGCTCTCTCCAAGGAGAAAGCCAAGCTCTGGTAGTGACAGGTCTGCTGAACTCCACCCTTAATTTTCTTCCTTAAACCTGCAGAGCTAAAGAATAAGAGTAGATCTTATTATTCTATAAATCAGAACATTCTGAATTTCTGGCCTTTAATTGTGTAGTCTGTTACTATTTTACTTTTGAGTTCTTGGGAAGAAAATTAAGCACATAGCCATTTGTATTTAGGTTACAATTGTTTTAATTTCTTTCCTTTTTAATGCATCGTTTACTTCAATTGTAAAATAATTTCGCATAAAACAAATCCATAGTTCAACATAGAATGTCTTCTGATTGAAAGTTTTTGCTATTGCACGATCCTTTACAATAGAGCATAGGTAAGGAGATAGATCCTGACATTTTGGTTTACAGTGTATATTCAGGCCAGTAACTTCTAAATTACAACTATACATCTGAATTTAGGAGGCTGTTTGACCAACGATGGAAGGGAAGATCTATTTTGTACCTATTTCAATTTGTTAGATGGGTGCAAGTATGTACATGGCCTAACCTAGTTTCTCACCTATCAGAATCTATCAGCAGATTTTTAAATTGATTATTTGAGACATGTATAAGCATAGTAGTGCCTCCTAGTCTCACCACATTGTTATGAATTGCCCCCCCCCACAAAAAGTTTACCAGCTGATCTTCATCTTTTCATGATTCTGAAATAAAATGAAGCATATTTTACTTTGTCCTTACTTACTCCAACCTAAGAGCTCCAATAGACAAGAATCTTACATACAAGATCTATAGACTATATATTTTCCCCAGGGTGCCTTTAATTTCTCCAGGCATGCCAGCACCTCTGTGGTATGGGCACACTGTTACGAGGTGGCATGAGTTGTGTGTTAGAAGAAACTCCATTAAGTAATAAGTATTTCACCTACAATTTGTGTTTATTTTTCACTAATATGTTTGTTATACATTTGAGGATCTCATGAACAGCAATACTATTATTTTCCAGTTATAATTGGCATTGTTATATCTTACAATAAAACTAGTGTCCCTGCCGAAACCGGTTTGGCTCAGTGGATGGAGCGTCGGTCTGTGGACTGAAAGGTCCCAGGTTCGATTCCGGTCAGGGGCATGTACCTGGGTTGCGGGCACATCCCCAGTGGGAGATGTGCAGGAGGCAGCTGATCGATGTTTCTCTCTCATCGATGTTTCTAACTCTCTCTCTCTCTCTCTCTTCTTCTCTGTAAAAAATCAATAAAATATATTAAAAAAAAAAAAAAACTAGTGTCCCAATGCATCGATTCGTGCACATTGAAAGGAAGTTAATTAGATGAACTATTTTAATATTGCTATTCGCCCTTTCTCTATAGTAGAAATGTCAACCAAATTCACAATCGACAATGATAGATGGAAACACGCATACAATTGGTGCCAGCAAGAGCTTTATATGTGTCGCGTATGTGCA